TTTTTTTTTCAAGAAATTTTTTTTATAAAATTTTTTTTTCAAGAAATTTTTTTATAAATTTTTTTTTTTTTGAGAAATTTTTTTTATAAAAAATTTTTTTCGAAAAAAAATTTTTTTGAGAAATTCTTTTTATAGAAATTTTTTTCAAAAAAAATTTTTTTCAAGAAATTTTTTTTATAAAACATTTTTTTCAGTGTTTCCAGTTCATCAGGGCTAAAAAGAATTTTCAAGAAATAAAAAAAAAAAGTTTTTTTGAAAACATTTCTTGAAAAAATTTCTTTATAAAAATTTCTTGAAAAAAAAATTTTATAAAAAAATTTCTTGAAAAAAATTTTTTTTTGAAAAAATTTTTTTATAAAAAAAAATTTCTCAAAAAAAAAATTAAAAAAAAAATTTCTTGAAAAAATTTTTTCATAAAAAAAAATTCTTGAAAAAAAAGACTCCATGTCCAGTTCATCAGGGCTCACATCTGTGGTCACCTCATTGTCAGGACAGTGAGGACACTCCTCAGATCCTCATTATTGCTGTTTGACAAGGACTGGGTCAGACTGGATCCCTGTGAACTCTGACCCAAGGACCCTCAGTCAGGGTCAGAGGGTCCCTGTGACTTCTGACCCAGGGAACCTCAGTCAGGGTCAGAGGGTCCCTGTGACTTCTGACCCAGGGAACCTGAGTCAGGGTCAGAGGGTCCCTGTGACTTCTGACCCAGGGAACCTCAGTCAGGGTCAGAGGGGCCCTGTGACTTCTGACCCAGTCTTTTATTTTTTTAAAAAATTTTCAAGAATTTTTGTTCTAAAAAGAATTGGAGGTTGCTTGGACGTCACTTGAACTTCACTGTGGTCACTTGAACTTCACTTGGAGGTTGCTTGGACGTCACTTAGACGTCACTTTTTCTTAAAATTTTCCAAAATTGTTTTTTTCTAAAACAAACAACAACAAAAAAAGTTCTAAAAAAAAGATTTTTCTTAAAAAAAAGAAAAATTCTAAAAAAAAAGTTTCTAAAAAAAATGGTTTTTTTTTTCTAAAACAAAATAAAAATTTCATATTACATATGTCGGGAGTTTAATTTAGTTAAGTTGTTAGAGTTAGTGGTTGCAGTTAAATTTGCCGACTTTTCTGTCTGGAGTTTTAATGCATCAACTCTACGTGTAATGTTATGCAGACGATAACCTGATTTATTTTTTTTTTTTAGCTCCCTCCGGTGCAGCAGCCCAAACCTCTGATCACACCTCGCTGGATCATTCCAACCACTGCTGTAAGTCTTTCTGTTCGCCTCTAAATCCTTGTCAAAAAACCACAACATGATTCATTTATATCCATTTTATAATGTTATTTCACTGCAATCACTTACCTTCATCCTCCCCCATGCAGCCTCCCGGCGTCTTCGGTAACGGCATGCTGGATCTCGACCCGCACCCTAAGCTCGCCTCTGGTGTCCCTGAAGGGGGCGTCTCTGTGACCCCTCCCCTTCCCCCACTGGCTCACACGCAGAACAACGTGGCCACAAGGTAAACATTTTTTGTGGTTTTATTCAAAGCAAAATGCCAGTGTTTGGATTCAGAATGATGACCTCTACAGGTCAAGATAGGAAATGCATCCTCTATTTCGTACAGAGGCCACGCCCTCGGAATTATCTGTTTATATATTTTAAATATTTTTGCCCTGAAGTACCTCCTCTGCCCACAGCACCGTGACTCGGCCACCAGCCCCGGAGGACGGAGGCAGAACCCGAGGTCTTCTGACCACTGAGCTCTGAGGAACAACAAGCCTTTGGGTTCTCAACCTCTGACTCACCACAACAGCTGGAGGACAAGTGAACCGACAACCTCCGGCCTCAGAGGGTGGCAGGACGAGCACCAGGATTTGAACATCACCCACGCAGAGCCAGATCTCTCACAGATTAGCCAATGGAATATCGAGTAGATTTTTATTGACATTTAGCTCAGATTTTTTTGGAAGTTATTTAAACCCTGGTGATGTGATAGGTTCAGTGAAACTCTATGAACTGTCCCTTTAGTCCTCAGTGTTTTATCAGTTAAACTAGAGATCAACAGCGTCTCACAGTGGTGTTTCTTCAGTGCTGCGCCCTCCTCAGCACAACCACTGCTGTATTATTGTTTTGTTTTTGTTTTAATTGCTGGTCCTTGAATTCACTGGATTTATACATGTTCACACACACACACACACACAGACAGAAACACTGGACATTCTTCATGTGATTGTAAACCAGGCATGGGCAAGCGTTTTGGCTCGCGGGCCCCAGTGGGTCCTAAAATTTGTCGGAGGTGGCGGGTCAGAAGCAGAGATACGAACTAAGATAAATGATATGTCAAAGTCATGCATAAAGGCTGGGATGCTTGTAGCCTTTTCTACGCCATCTATTGAGGAAATGTGGGCGTTGCAGAGAAAATGCAGAAGTATAATGATAACGTAAATTAATGATATAATTTTTAATACAAGGTCGTTGGGCCGGGTTGAAAGGCCAAACGGGCTGCATCTGGGCCGTAGTTTGCTCATGCCTGTTAAAGTGTCGGAGGTGAAACACTCTGATCATCAACACTAATGGATGAGACGAGTTGACCACACGTTTTTACAACTTATGTTTTGTTTTTTTTTAACAAATTGTTCTTGATTTTTTTTTCTTTTTTTTTGTCCTCCCTTCGCCTCCGACCCCCAAATCTGTACGTTTAATCTAGAAAGATTGAGAACCACTGAAGAAACTTCCAGTCCAGCTTTCACAGAATCAGCTGGATTTGACACCAGTTTTTATATATATAGATATTTACTTTTAAAAATTCTTGTCTTGGATGTTGTAAATCGCTGCTTTTAATGATCTGGGTTTTTTTTTTTTTTTACCGGCGTTGATTTAAGAAGTTACTGCCACACGTTAGAGCCGTTTAATTAATTATGACCGTTTGATCATGTGATCCCTTTATCCACACTGACTGCCAGTATGAATATGCTGTAGTTATGATCCTGCCTTATGGAGATGAATGTATTGAACACTGTCAGAATGGTTCATGTCACGTGTCTCACATCCTGATGCCTATTTCTTTATTCGAAGGAAAACTTTTACTCTTAAATTTGAAGTTATAGATTCATAGACTTTGCGTTTTTGTTTTTGTTTTACAGCAGTATCTCTATTGGCTGTTTTAAATGTGACATTTCTGTCTTAAAGACTGTTTTACTTCCTCGTTCTTAGCCGACACTGTTCATTTCTACACCTGTGTGTGTGTCAAGTGCTGTAGCTCACATTTGGAATGTATCGTCTCAGTATAACGGCATCACGTGACTGTAGATAAAAAAAAAGAAGAATCTTATATATATTTTTTCAAAATTATTTTAGAAGAACTGTAACTGCTACTTATTCTTCATAGAGAGTGGGAATAATGTCTGTTTCTAAACAGGAATGAATTAGGAATGGTCTCAAATGCATTTATGAACCGTTTGTTTTTTTGTTTGTTTTTGTTTTTTCTGGAATACATGACCCGGTCCAACGTTTCTCAAGCAGATGTCGTTGTTTTCTTTTTTGTTGTTGAAGAATTAATGAGTTCAGAGTACACATGGATTCTTGGTTGAAATAATTTGATTTATTAGATTTATCAATGTCAAAGAACGTGGTTCAAGCTGTGGTTTAAATGGAACGTTTTGAAAAAAAACTGGATGTGGAGAGTGGCCCGTGATGTTTGTCTCTCAGCAGCTCTCTCTCCAGAGGTTGATCATCACCGGCCACCATCTTATCCTCCTCCTCCTCCACTGGTGAATTAACATTTTCTCATCTTCATCATCATCTTCTTCTGGTCTCTCTTCTTCCTCCTGTTCCTGTTGTAATCCCTCTGTTGTCCTGTCCCGTTCATCCACTCTCTCCTCAGCTCAGTGTCTACGTTCTGATGTTGAATCCCTGGAGAGAGAGAGACTGACGGAACATCCCAGAATCTTCACCTCTGCCTCCACTACTGCCCCCTACTGCAGGTACGTTGCAGCTGTCCTTCTATCAGACACGACCAGGTGACCCCGATCTCCTGTGTGCAGTCACTTAGTCACATCTTCTGTTCACCGTTCGAATTGAATGCATTTTTTTAGACTCAGTTTTGTATTTTACAAAACTCAAATCAACAAATTTTACCAAAAAGATTTTGTTAATCAAATATCTTAGATCCTCAAAATCTCTCACATATATATTTTAAGACAGACTCTATTTGTATTATAGTTGATATACTGTATATTTCAAGGGGAGAATTCTAATTGTTGGAAGCGCGCCCTCTCGTGTTGACATTTGGGATTGACTTCAAGCAGTGAAACTTGAATATTTGAATTGAGATTGAAGTACCCACTAGATGGCAGCACATAACAATTTTTCCCCCTTTTACCTGCATGAAAGTTCAACGTGATTTTTTTCTTTCTTTCACGTTTCAGTAATTTTCTTTTGTAGTTAAAATATAAATTAAAGTGAAACAGTCTAATATGTTAAAGTAAATATGTTTAAAAGAAATACAACATTATGATTATCAAGTTGATACAAGTGAAAAAAATCCAACAGATCATTCGAAATGTGAAATTGTGTCACTGTTTCCTGTTTGTCTGGTGGCCAGGGATAGGGCGCGTCCCCTAGTGGAGCTATTCTGCCATCCCAGTTGGAAAAGACCTACAGCTCAAAGGAAAAGAAAAGCAACAGCAGGGGGTGCGGTTGTTCAGGTTTGTTTCTCTTTCCTCTTAGTAAATGTAATAAGTTTTGAAGACATTTGAAGATGTGTTCAGTTCAATATTTACTGAAGTAAGATCTGAATGTGTCGAAGAGGAGAGGCTGAAGTTGACCTTTGACCTCAAGAAAACGAACCTGTCTGTCACTACCATAATTACATACATATATTCATCCAAATGTCCTAAAAAATATTAGTTATATAAGTTGACCATGAACTCTGAAAACCAACCGCCAGGAGTGAGGATTAGAATCAGAAGCAGCTCAGAAATAATAATAATAAAAAAATAAATCAAACGATGCTTAGACTGAAGTAGTACTTGAAATAAACAGACGATCTGTCTCCAGTGGAGGAGACACAAGGAGACGATGATGAGATGATTAAGGGCAAGTGTTCTGGTAAAGAGATGAGAAGGTTCTAGTGGCTCGGAGCAGAGTGGCGGGACTTGGACTAACTGAACTTGATTGTCTGCTATCATAGACTGTAGGTGGCGCCCAAGAGCACTGACTGTAACCTGGTCCTGAAGTCACGTTGACTGTTGGACCTCCTTGTGATCAGGAACATTATCAACGTGTGTATTTTTGTCTGAGTTACTGACGTCAGGCTCTGAATATAAGGTACGTTGCAGCTGTCCTTCTATCAGACACGACCAGGTGACCCCGATCTCCTGTGTGCAGTCACTTAGTCACATCTTCTGTTCACCGTTCGAATTGAATGCATTTTTTTACACTCAGTTTTGTATTTTACAAAACTCAAATCAACAAATTTTACCAAAAAGATTTTGTTAATCAAATATCTTAGATCCTCAAAATCTCTCACATATATATTTTAAGACAGACTCTATTTGTATTATAGTTGATATACTGTATATTTCAAGGGGAGAATTCTAATTGTTGGAAGCGCGCCCTCTCGTGTTGACATTTGGGATTGACTTCAAGCAGTGAAACTTGAATATTTGAATTGAGATTGAAGTACCCACTAGATGGCAGCACATAACAATTTTTCCCCCTTTTACCTGCATGAAAGTTCAACGTGATTTTTTTCTTTCTTTCACGTTTCAGTAATTTTCTTTTGTAGTTAAAATATAAATTAAAGTGAAACAGTCTAATATGTTAAAGTAAATATGTTTAAAAGAAATACAACATTATGATTATCAAGTTGATACAAGTGAAAAAAATCCAACAGATCATTCGAAATGTGAAATTGTGTCACTGTTTCCTGTTTGTCTGGTGGCCAGGGATAGGGCGCGTCCCCTAGTGGAGCTATTCTGCCATCCCAGTTGGAAAAGACCTACAGCTCAAAGGAAAAGAAAAGCAACAGCAGGGGGTGCGGTTGTTCAGGTTTGTTTCTCTTTCCTCTTAGTAAATGTAATAAGTTTTGAAGACATTTGAAGATGTGTTCAGTTCAATATTTACTGAAGTAAGATCTGAATGTGTCGAAGAGGAGAGGCTGAAGTTGACCTTTGACCTTAAGAAAACGAACCTGTCTGTCACTACCATAATTACATACATATATTCATCCAAATGTCCTAAAAAATATTAGTTATATAAGTTGACCATGAACTCTGAAAACCAACCGCCAGGAGTGAGGATTAGAATCAGAAGCAGCTCAGAAATAATAATAATAAAAAAATAAATCAAACGATGCTTAGACTGAAGTAGTACTTGAAATAAACAGACGATCTGTCTCCAGTGGAGGAGAGACAAGGAGACGATGATGAGATGATTAAGGGCAAGTGTTCTGGTAAAGAGATGAGAAGGTTCTAGTGGCTCGGAGCAGAGTGGCGGGACTTGGACTAACTGAACTTGATTGTCTGCTATCATAGACTGTAGGTGGCGCCCAAGAGCACTGACTGTAACCTGGTCCTGAAGTCACGTTGACTGTTGGACCTCCTTGTGATCAGGAACATTATCAACGTGTGTATTTTTGTCTGAGTTACTGACGTCAGGCTCTTAATATAATCTCTGAACGCAGCAGTGCCCTCTAGTGGGCGCCTTTCTTAACTATACTAAACGGAAGTATATGGTGTACAACGTTTGAAACAGGAAATATTTTGCTATTTTAAAGGAGAATTAATGAGGCTCCAGACGAAGAAACTGTACGAACAGCTCTGTCCAAATGAAACCATTGTTTCATCAGGTCGGAATCCAATTATAGAATCTTAGCCGTGGAATGGCAGCAGCGGCAGCGGCGTTCCTAAATGTCCGTTTGAAAAGCTGTGAGTTGAAATTGAATGACTGCGGCTGCTCTGTGCTGCAGAGTAATACATATTTAGAGCATTATTAAAGAGGCCGACGGCGGACGGCTCAATAAGTCAGCCAGGACTGCTCCCCTCAGCAGATGGCCTGACTCTCTGGCACTTTCCAAAGGAATAATTGATTACGTACATAGACCTTATGCCAGGTCATGATTGCTTAAGCACACTTGGAGCCTTGTGTAGATTTAGGATGATTTGGAACTGAGCCATGGCCTGAACTCAGCTCACCTGAACACATCCATTAAAATAAAAAATAAAAAAAAGGGAACATATTCTCTCTTTGGATTAAACTTTCTAAGGAAAAGTAAATGAAAACACCTCAATCCCGGATGAACACAAATCCAGAATATTTTCAATTTAACAGAGTTTCACTGACCTTTCAAAGAAGAGCGGAGCAAATGGCAGAGGGACGAGTCAGGAGAGGGGGGACGGAAGACGTCGCTTGAGGAGGCGGTCTCCAGAAATACGAGGTAAAATGTCAGCGTTCCATCATTTGATTTTGAACAGTTTTCTCTGTGATAACCTGACGAAGGTCGCACCGTTGTTTGTTGGTTATTTACATGCGACGGTGCAGCAGCAGGACAGACACCACAGACTCTGTAATGTTATTCATGAAGTTGTCACTCATGAGTTACCGCAGTGTCAAAGTTCAACATAGCATAGCATCTGTTTTTGTTTTTATTTTCTTATTTTTACAGCACTACAACAATAAGAAGGAAATGTTACTCGGAGAAAATTAAAATTAAATTCTGTGTGTGGACGTGTCACAACTGATACTTTTTCATCCTTTAATTCCAGGTGGGGCGGTGCTAATTAAAAAGGGGTTTTTACTGGGAGTAAAAACCAGATGTTAATGGAACATACTGCCATCTGGTGCCACGACGTGACTGGAGACGTTTCCTGTTTATCTGGATGAAAGGTTTAATTCTTTGAAAAGACAAATGTTGCAGCATCTGGGTGTGTGTGTGTGGGTCGGGGGTCGGGGGAGGGGGGGGCATGGACAGCCCATCATCCTGTCTTTTTACATTTGTAGGTGTTGATAGTGATACCAGGGTAAGGTAAAACGCAAGAGATAATTTGAAAAAGAAATTAAACAAAACGGTTTCTTTACATTTTTTTAATCACAGAATTCTGTCGGATTTCTTTGAGCTCAGGTCATGACCAACTTATGTCTGTTAGGACTGAATCCAGTTAAATTAAAATATTATTTCAGTTTGAGAAAAAGGGAAAAAAATTAGATGAAGCTAAATCAAATATTTAATCAAATATAAATGTATGTATGTATGTGTATGTATATATATATATACATATATGTATGTATATATATATATACATATATATATACATATATGTGTATATATATATACATATATATGTATGTATATATATATATACATATATATATACATATATGTGTATATATATATACATATATATGTATGTATATATATATATATATATAAATATATATATATATATCTGTTTCTGTTTCTGTATATATGTCACACACAGGAGGCTGTGAAAGGCTAATAAAGAGCTAATAAAGCTCTGTGATGGTAGAGATATGAATGAATGGTTATTGATTGTGAAGAGCTGCGTTTCACTGACTGTGTGTGTGTTTGTGTGTCTGCAGGTGTGTGCGAGGTGGGGGCTGTGATTTCCCTGGATCAGTTTGACGTCTCATCATTTCAGCAGCAGTGACTGATGAACGTGAGTCCGACTCTGTAATAATCCTGCCTGCAGGTCGTTGTCTCCCCCTGTAGGCCGGGAAAGGTAACTGTCTTGACCTGCTGCGTTCTTTGACCTGAACCTTGTTTGTCTCTTCTTACGCTGCAGAGCTGGTCTTTGGCCAAATCAGTGAGGTCAAAGGTCAAGAGCAGCAACAACAACAACAGCCACAAGGACTTGTGCAAGGACGGACACTACAAGGTATGTCAGACCTGGGGGGGTGGTGGGGGGGGGTATTTATTTATATAGAAACATTGTCCCCCTAGAGGACAGAGAGACACAAGTCACACATTTTCGTGTTTCGCTCTGGTGCCACCTGTTGATATTTATTTATTTATCAGTACAAACATCTGTATGAGTGTTAAGATTAATTAATTGAGCTGCAATGCTGCCATCTACTGGCGTTCACTTTAATATACAGCCGTTTTCCCCCAAAACTATTTTTAGGGCACACATGATTTGGTGAAACCCAGGCATTATTATCGGGTTTTCTTTATCGTATGAAAAGCCGATAACGATTCCTACAGATGTTACTTAATTATGCTAATATCGAGCCGATAATATCGGACATTTCTAGTTTTTGGGGCAGCAAACAGAGGACAGGAGTGTGTGGGAGTGGAACAGAAATATAAGTCAGAGAGAAAATCTGAGCTGTCACAGCGTTTGAGTGTGTGCGTACGTGTGTGTGTGTGTAAACAGGACAGCAGAGTTGTGTGTGTTTGACAGGCAGACAGTTTGACACAGCTCATATGTGGCAGTTGCCCTCCTGTGTGTTATCAACAAAGCCTAACCGGGCGCTGCCAATCATTTCACACCCTGTCAGGACGCCACAACTGCAGCTGCCTGTCCACACACACACACACACACACACACACACCTGGCACCAGAGCGATACATAAAAATGTGTGTGATGCCCACGTTAGTTAACTGTCCCAGTTCTTTTGGTTTCTACTAATGTTTCTGCGGCGCCCCCTTTTGGTAGATAGTGTTACTGTCTGTGCCCGTGGTGATGATGACATCATTTCTCTGTAATTCCGTCTGTAATCAGGTGGAATAACGTGGACTGAAGCATCTGTTCCACTTTGTTGGCATTTCGTAATCTCCTTTAATGAAAACGCCGTCTTCGTCCACGCTGCTTCAGCCGCGTCGTTCCCTCCGCCGTCGTCGTTTTCCCCTCTGTCGTCTCTCTTTCTGCCGGCACTTCCTCCAAATCCACGTTTGTCCCCTGTGGTTTGCCATATCTCCACTGCCACAAACGCATCTGTCACGCCACGCATCGTCGCCATGACAACCATTAATGAGACAGACGAGTGCAGTCTGTGCTCGGTGTCAATTTAGTGAATAAAAAAAAACCAAACTGTCTGAAAATGATTCAGACCCACAATGTGGGTCACATCTACTCAGCATAACAGAAGACAGTCATTAGTCACTTAACTGACTCCAAACAACAAAGAATGCACGGTTTGTTAGCGCCGAGTACGTAGCCTCCCCACACCGACCTGTAGGTGGTGCTAAGTACACATGTGAGAGCTGTTCCCATTTAGAGAACTGGAACATTTACCAGGTAAAATAAAAGTTAAATTATAACCTAGTGTATATTTGCAGCATGCTAGTTTATCACGCTCACGTTACCTGTTAGCATCCTTCGAGTTTGTAGCTTTTATTAGTTAATAATCATCTAGACAGCCCAAGCTAATCCTGCTAACAACCTTAGCCAAACTTTTTTTTTTGCGCTTTTCAGGTAGATCTGCTTCTTGTGAGTTGCATTACTGCCACCTATTGGATTTAATTGCCACTTGTAACAAGAAGGTTGGTTATGTTTAGACTGCAGAACTTTAAAAATAGGGTTTGTCATCAGAACTTGAACACAGACTGATGACCAGAAGTTTTTCCTCTGTCTGAAATACTCAGTAGATGTTGTGAATTTGTGTGTAACTGTGTGTATTTTCTTCTTGTCTTTTAGAACCTTCTGTTTTCCACAAGGACGTCTCAGACTAACAGCAGCGTCGCTCAGCTCTCCGTGCCTTCCTGCGTCTGCGCTAACCCAGGTAGGCTAAGTGACCCTTGACCCACAGCTCTGTTAAAACTCAATGTCTAGACGACCGCTTGTTTAAATGACTTTTTAATCGCG